CGCTACCTCACTCCTTGGCATGTGCAGCTCACCCTGGCCCATGAACTGGGCCACAGCCTGGGAGCCCCCGTAAGTGACACACCCCCCCGTAAGTGAAAAACCCCCCTGTAAGTGACACACCAGCTCGTAAGTGACGGCAGCCCTTGGTAACTCTGGGATTTCTTCCCATAAATGTCGTCTTACTTGTAAAATTTTGTTTCCAAGATCTTTAAGGATCCGTTGCATTCAGCACAGAGGACCAGCTCGCAGTCTGTGTTTATGCCAGTTTTATTTCCTAGCTTGCACTTTACACTTTACCCTGTATTAGCTTCCCCTGTGTAGTCAGACCCCCCCCCCCCAGAACCGTGTGTTTGGAGATGTCTGTCTGCACACTACAGTGGTACTGAGCTGTTATTTTGTTATTCACAAGAATTAAGAAAGGACAAGATTTGTTTCCCCCTTTTTTTGCCACTGACATTGCCATTTAGTACCATGCCCCCCCCCCCCCCCCCCCCCCCCCCAAATTACAGTGCTCCTAACCTGGGGTAGTTTTTGAGTTTAATGACGTACTTCTCCTGATCACACTCAGCGTGCTGGCCTGGGGTCATTATGATTTCAATCAGCGTGTCCACATCTAGCTGTCGGTTCACAATGACGACAATTCACAGTGACGACTGCGACAATGAAGACGGCTCACAGTGACGACTGTGAAATTGACGACGGCTCACAGTGACGATTATGACAATGACGACGGTTCACAAAGACCAGAGAGTGAATCAGGACCCGAGGCCTTCAGCTGAATGTGTGGCTCCAGCTGCTTGCAACAGACATAGAAGGCCGTGTTGTTGTAGCAAATGTGTTTTTTTATGTTATTATTTTTTCTGGTCACTTCTCTGTTCTTTATCTTTCAAATGAGAGCTGTTTTTAACATTTCATTTGTAGCTGTTTTTATTTGTTGGGGTAAAACGCTCAAAGGGATGTTGTTGGTTGCTGCTGGGACTGTAGCTGCATTATATATGATACATCATTCATTTGAAATGAACACGAGCAGAACCTTCCCTTTATGTATTTGACCATCACCCCTGCAAGGCATTCAGCTTTAAAGATGAAAGAATGTAATCATTTAACGGGTTTTAATTTGCAGAATTCCCTACCAGCACAGTCTTGTTGATCGAACCTGTTGATTCTGATCCTGAAGCTTTTTTGTGTTTAAATGCTCACGGGACTTAGAACGGCTGAAAAATGTGAGTGGGTAGGATGGTTATCAAGCGCTGCCAAGCTGAGTTGTAGCCCGTCTGTTCCAGCACGACGAGGGCACTAACTGTGGTAGCCTGGGTTCCACTGACGGTAAAGGCAGGTTCCTCATGTTCCCTCATGCCACCGACGGCCTCCAGGAGAACAACGATAAGTTCTCACCCTGCAGCATCAAGCACATCAGTAGCCTGCTGAGAGTGAAGAAGGACGATTGCTTCGTAGGTGAGGAGCAGTTGGCGAAAGGCCTCGAGTTTAAAGGGAGGTCGCGGGTATCAAAGGCCACTGTACAGTCAGACTTTACATACCTGCACATATATGCATTATAACCTTCATGCTTGTCATGTGTCTCAAGAAAGCGATCAACCGATCTGTGGAAATCTGATAGTGGAGATGGGGGAGCAGTGCGATGTGGGCCACAACGAGACCGACCCGTGCTGTTACAGCGCCAGGGAACGCAAGGGCCTGCGCTGTCACCTGAAACCAGGCCGAATCTGCAGGTGCCTCACCGACGCAGCCGAAAAGCAGCTTAGATCCAGAGATGTGTCAACAAGTGGAGTCAAAACTTTTAAATAAGAACCAGGAGGAGAATTACAGACAGTTACAGACGAGTTACAGACAGTCTGCAGGTTACACGCCAGATCCGTTCCCTAAGTCTGTCTTTAAGTTGAATTTGTAGGTAAGTTGGAAAAGTATTAATACAGTAAATAATTATACGGCAATAATAAAGTAAATACTGTACCTCAAGCGAACAAATGACTGGAGCCGCACAATGTTTTCACTAGCGTCACAAAGTCGTGTGTCCATTCGTTATTACGAACCATTGTATTTAAGCTGAATCTTTAATATCATAGACTCTATGGCTGTCCATTTGTAAGTAGAAGTTGTCCATAAGTCGGACATTCTTATTAACACAGGGACTGCCTGCTTTTAATCAGTGAAGATAAACCGAATCTGTCTGCTAGCATAAAGGTCTCCTTGTGTCTGCTGTGGGTAACATTGTTCCTGCACCAGTTCTCTTCTTCTTTCAGTAGGGAGGTTACAAAGAAACACATCCAGACCTGCCGACGTTACTGTTATTGGGTTTTAGACTTTCTGAGAAATTGTCTCAGAATACTAAATACTGTAAATATATATATTTCATGTGGACCCATTAGCTTATGCATTCCACCCACTTGATGTGGAGGTTCCATCTTCATAAAAAATGATTGCATTTTGTCTAGTCTGAACACAAACACCGTGATGTAATGAGTTCTCTCTGTGATGACTGTGTCCCGACTGTGATGACTGTGTCCCGTCTGTGATGACTGTGTCCCGTCTGTGATGACTGTGTCCCGTCTGTGATGACTGTATCCCGTCTGTGATACTGTGTCCCGACTGTGATGACTGTGTCCCGTCTGTGATGACTGTGTCCTGTCTGTGATACTGTGTCCCGTCTGTGATGACTGTCTTGTCTGTCAGTCCCAGTCAGGGTCTGTGCTGTAGCTCCCTCTGCACCTTTACGCCCTACGGCGTGACCTGCGAGGAGGCGTCAGAGTGTCGCCTGCAGACCCGCTGCTCCGGAGCCGTAGCTGCCTGCCCTGCTGCCACCTCCAGGCCGGACATGACGCCCTGTGGCTTGGGAACGCGGGTCTGCCTGCAGGGGGTGAGCGGACAGGCCAGGACACCATCCGCGTCCACTGTCTCCTAAGGCTGTCCTCTAAAGCAGAAATTTATCATGTTCATAGATCAAGCATATAAAACTTTGCCTTTTGACCTTTGAGGATCATACCTCATATGTAGAGTATTATTTTGAGCCAAACGGCTCCCTGGGGAGAGCATGTGTTCAGTAGAATGGGAATGGGAACAAAATAAACAACCAACAATTGAATAAAACATTTCTGGAGTGGGTCAAAGATATGTGAAGAATCTGTGGAGTATTTGTCAGTCACATTGTTTCCACTGCGCCAGTGACTCTGTGTGAATGTGGCCCGCTGTTTCCTCACCAGGAGTGCTCACAGTCGGTGTGTACCAAGCACAGCATGGAGCAGTGTGACTGTCCCACAGACTCCGTGAGTGAGCGATGCTACATGTGCTGCCAGCAGCCCGGTACAGTCCCTCTCGCCTGCTCCACTATACTCACATGTGCTGCCAACAGCCCAGTACAGTCCCTCTCGCCTGCTCCACTATACTCACATGTGCTGCCAGCAGCCCAGTACAGTCCCTCTCGTCTGCTCCACTATACTCACATGTGCTGCCAGCAGCCCAGTACAGTCCCTCTCGTCTGCTCCACTATACTCACATGTGCTGCCAGCAGCCCAGTACAGTCCCTCTCGT